CAGGCATAGAGACTGGTCAGTGACCCTCGGGCAACCTCTGTTCACTAGAGAAATAAAAGACAAATGGCAACACCAATGACAGCAGACCAAGCTTGCTGTTTAGCAAGATTACATACAGTCAAGACTACCTACAAAGAGAAGATAGCGATGGCAATAATATATTTGTAAGAGTAGCTTGATCGAAAACAAGGCTAATCCTACTGTGAAGGCTGTCTGGCCAAAGGATATTTTCCTCCAAGGGGATTCAAATTTATTCTGGATGTAATTCATTTTCATTATTTCTAAGGTTAAGCCTCTTTTAATTGTCATCTCCTTCTCTAGTTTGAGATGTAATAAGACAATTCAGTGAGGGGGAATGGGTTTTCTTCATCATTGGGTTTCATCTCATTGGATGACTGTCTAACAGATATGATCTTGCACATTGGTTGATGAGTGTCCGGATGTATTTTTCACATGTGAAGGCTGGGGCTTCAATGGCAGGGCAGATCAACTTTTCTGGGGAAATCTGTTTTGTCCATAGAAGCCCATTGTCTATAGAGGCGAAAAAATGAGGACATTCGTGTTTATTTCTTGCAACAATGCTTCAGGCACTAAATTTTATATCATTGAAAAGCCTGTTTGTTTCCCCTTTTTATGAGTTGAGGACCAGAGTTGAGTATTTGGGTCGCACCCATGAAAAACTCAATCTTGTCTGCCAGTGCCATTGTTTCGTTTACTGGATTGGATGATTGAAGTCTGAAGAAAGAGGATGTATTGGCAACAATTTATTCATTTAACGAGGGGGGCCTCAGTAGCACGTGGAAGAACATTATGCAGCCACAGCCTGGCACCTCCTCCTTGTGCTGGTCACCAGCTGTGTGACCAGCATTTGTTTTAAGTAAGCCAGTGTGGTTGCACATGCTATACCTCCCACAACAACTTGCCACCTGGTTGTGGACTACACATTTTGGTTACCAGGATATCACAAACCAGTCTCTAGGCTTGTATGAAGAAGGATTTAAGAAGGTTATTTAAAGCCACAGAAAGCTTGTCGCTGAATCTTGTGCTTCGTATTGCTGAACTATCACTAGTAAAGTTCTATTGTGGCTAAATGCAGGCACCACAGAAAAGGAATGTGTGGCATGAAAAGGACAGTATGTGTGCCTCTGCTCCACTGATTTTGATCTAATTGATCAAACTGGAACGTGTTAATGAAGTGTGCTGCCAACTCAGTATTCTTTTGCACTGGCTGGATTTCACTGTCTGTGAGAAGTTTCTATAACACTCAGTGTTGATTTCTGCCTTTATCGAAAGACTAAAAAAGACGCTGAGTAATATTGTTTGGAATAAGAGACACATTTTATGGACCTTTGCTGTTCACTGCAGCTGAAGACGTCAGGATGCCTCATTTCTTCTGTCATCAAATTCTCCTTTTAGTTTGTTTGCTGCTATTTGAATGAAATGGATAATATTGACTTATTTTCACCAAAATCAGACAAAACTCTGCAATAAATCTTGGCCATCAAGGCCATTTAAATTAATTTAACAAAGAAGGCCTCTTTAAGAAGCCACTGCAGCAAGTTATGAGTTTGCATTAACATTAGCTTAACCTTCCAGGGCAGGAAGTGACTTCATTTACAGTTTGATAAACTACCACAAAATAAATCACCAGGGCAGACAACCAGTAAAAAGAGAGAAGCAGCAGGATAAATAGGACAGTAGCACTGAATGCTGGCCATACTGTGGCACCTTACCGGCACACGTGAGCCATCCATGTGGCAACTTTCCGTGCTCATTACTGCTTGTGCCTGATTTGATCTCTACTGCAGGCTAGTTTGCAGCTCCAGTTAAGAGCAGCACAAGAAAATGGATCTTTTTTCATGGCAGCTGTAGATGCTGCTTGATTGTTGGAGAAAGCACAGCAGCAGCAAGCTGCCATCGGTTGAAAGGAGGAAGAGCGGTTATTGCGCAGTAAACAGGGGGCAAGAGGGGGGGAGGCATTAGGGTACAGCACAGCCAGGCCTTTCCACTGTCACAGTTACATAACATGTGTCTTCATGGCAACAAAAGGCCTCTGTCGTTTTCTGCTCCCAGCCCTCAGCCCCGCCGGCTGTGTCCTTAACCCCATCGACCTCATTAAATATTCCCCTCTGCTCTCCTCATGTATCCCTGTTTACTTTCTTTCTTTCTTTCACTTTATTGTCCTTTTTCCTCTGTGGATCAGTTATTACCGCCAAAGGTTCTTCATAACCAGGTCACACACTGAAAAACACTGGAATTTATGTAAACACGAGTATTATTACAGTGGCATGTTTAAAGTTTCAAATAATGTGGAAATTTTATGTAGAAGTATCCCTGTAGGCCAAACTTCAGGTGTTTTTTGTACTCTTTGTTCTTCATGATGTCATTCTGTCATTCTCATAGTGAGAAAAACACACCACATTTAATTTGAGGATTTTCACTCTTGGGAGAGGTGCTGAAGATAGTCTATTGATGAATGATTACAAAAATGTATTAGAAAAATACACTCAGTGATTGCCATATCATCCTCAGAGATGTTAACCAGATACGGAAGAACTGGGCCCATAACACAGCCCTCCTTTCACCGTCGTTGGAGATCATTTTTTTGGTCTCCATGTTCCACCATAACTCAGATCACAGGGCGCAAGCTATTTAAGTATCTCCCAGATTATTAAGGACTCAGTTGGTGGTAGAGCTCTGCTGTTGTGGAATAATTTATTAAGATCACCATCGAGACCTTTAAATCGAGACTAACAACCTATTAATTTCACTTGCAAATGCAGCTTTAAAACCTTCCTGCTGGAACCTCATTTTGTGTTTGCTTTAGTTTTATTCTCCAATCTGTTAGAGTACTCTGCACTTTGTAGTTATTAAGCATTTAATGATAGATGGTGTTTCTTAAAAGAAACGGTTTAGATATTTTGTAATGCTAAATATGCAGTGATATTTTGTAACAGTACAATACAAATAAAGACAAATAAAATCTAATTATAGATGAATCATAAGAGAGATATAAGTCATCTAGTTCATAAAAAAGATGACAGATCGACTCTTAAAAAGGGTTCAGGGTTGGATAGGGTTCGACCCCTCTGACATGGATTATTGTGAGGATACAGCCTCACCATTGCAAGCTCTTACATAAGGCAGTGCAATAAAATAGATGGTGCTGGCCTGTTTACCAGCCAGACCCAGAATCATCTGCTGCCTCGACCTACATAAAACCTTCCATGTGGAGATTCAAATCTATAAATAACAAAAGTGCAGTTGCAACCAGAAGATCATTTGATGTGATGGGTTTTGTTGGTGAACACAACCTTCAACATTAGCACTGTGTCATCATTTAGGTGCCACACTGGATTAAAGTTTGTGCTCAAGCTTGGTCCTGTTTGTATGTCACTGTATATTCTCACATTTCACAGGACAGAATAATCTTTATCATTTCACAGACATGGTTTCTTCATAGCCTCAGATGGCCTTTGCTTACACGGATATGACGAGGGCCATTTAACAAATAATGAGTGCACATTGTTAGTGCCAGAAAAAGCTCCGGGATGGGTGGATAAGTCAGCTTTGGTTTCTTTTACTCATTACTACATTTGTCTTTTATTTTATTTATTTTTTCAGCAGCGGTCACAGACCGGTACCGGTCTGTGAGTCATTTGGTACCGGGCCACGAGAGTTGAGATTTTCAGTTTATGGTTTTCAGGGTTTTTATCGTTTTGTTTTTTATCGTTAACTCCGTTTCTCTGGGTCTTTTCCCGTGTGTTATGAATAAATCTTTTTTTTGGTACCAGTACTGGTTTTATTTTGTTGTATTTATCCACCATAAATACAATAAACGAACCGGTCAGTGGTGCAAAAAAGGTTGGGAACCGCTGGTTTAAAACATACAGAATGTTTAAAATTATGCCTGGATGATTGATTTGTGAGGCTGATTTTTATTTAACCTTGTAGAAAGTAAAATGTTAAAACGGATTTATGCTTTCTGCTCAGATAGCACTTATCTTAAATCAGAATCAGCATACTTTATTAATCTCTAAGGAAATTATGTGGGTTACAGTTGCTCCAGTATAAATATCAATAACAGAAACAGACAAGACTATTTAACAATACAATATGTTACAGATTTAAGAAATTTAAGAAATAGAACAATATATACAAATCACTAAATAATAAATATCAAGGATTGACGGAGGTGATTATAAATAAATGTCAAGAATGTTGACAGCAACATTACTGAGTAGAAAAGAGTGTGTGCAAAAAGGATGTAACTATTGCAGTGTTTACAGTGTGTTAGATGGAGGAGCTGTACAGGGAGATGGCCACAGGCAGGAATGATTTCCTGTGTCATTCAGTGGTGCTTTTTGGTAATCTCAGTCTGTCACTGAACGTGCTCCTGTGACTAGCCAGCCCGTCATGGAGTGGGTGGGAGGTATTATCCTGCATTGTCTTTATCTTGGACAACATTCGCCTCTCCAACACCACCTTAAGGGAATCCAGCTCCATCCCCACAACATTACTGGCCTTGCGGATCAGTTTATTTGCATCTGCGACCCTCAACCTGCTGCCCCAGCATGCAACAGCATAGAGGATAGCTCTGGCTACAACAGACTCACAGAAAATCCTGAGCATTGTCCAACAGATGTTGAAGGACTTCAGCCGCCTCAGAAAATAAAGATGACTCTGGCCTTTCCTGTAAAGTGCAGTGGCGTTTTTTTTGTTTTGTTTTTTTTTTAAGCTAGAGATATAGAGATTTTGAGAATATGAACTAGACTGCACATAATATGTACATCCCCCTTTTGCTTACTGCAAAGCAGCTTTCAAAATCATGTTGTAAGTTGAACAGAATCTTGATATTTGATGACATTTATTAGAATTTTGTTACAATTTTGAATTTATATATGTGGGCTCTTTTGTCTCCAGTCACATCCCGTTACTCATTATGCAACAGGGTTTGTTAAAATAGTCTGACGCTAATGACAGCATTCTTTCTTTCGCAGTTAAATCTGACAACAAAGACAAGCAGGAGAAGACAGACACCGTGTCTGGGAAAACAGACAAGATTGACAACTTTGACAAGAAGGAAGAACAGCAGAAGGACTACGGCCCAGACAAGAACCAGAAGTCTGAGAAGATAATCAAAAACGAGGAAAAGCTAGAGAAGATGAACGCGGAGAAAAACAACAAGGCCAATGAGAAGGCAGAAAAGGTGGACAAGCCGGAGAAGACCAACAAAGATGAGAAGAAGGAGGAGAAGGGTGTGAAAGGGACGGCCAAGTCTCCCACAGGGAATGGTAGCAAGACCCTGGCGAGCCCTGACAGCAAGAGCAAGGTGGGTCACATACAGACACGCATAAAGAGAATAATTAGTGTCATCTACGCACATTTCCAGCACGCAAACTGCACAGTCATCGTGGTAAAAGCAGTCACCCGATAATAACAAGTCTGACCTCCCACAGTTGCAACGAAAGCCTGTGAAGTGTCCTTGAGCAAGACACACAATTGCTTACAAATGCTGCAGAAGCTGATCACAGAAATCACAGAAACATATTTCCTTTATCTCTTGTGTGTGTGCTAGGGGAGGTCTGTGTGTGTCTGTCTAAAGTCTTGGTCACACCAGTATTTTACCTTCTGAGGCCCATGACATCATAGGTGGTAACCCTAAGCTTGGTGTGAATAGCGTTTGATGTGCGCCAGTTGGAATAATTGTTTTATTTTCTGATTGACAGGACTACATTACACACACACGTGCACACACACACACACACACACACACATATATATATGCACATATATATATATATATATATGTGTGTGAAATTTCACTGCAACTCAAAATGGTACTCAGTAGTATGCATGTCCCCCGTGTGCTTGTGTGCATGCTGCCAGTGAGATGGTATCCTGGTGGATCTCCTCCCAGATCAGGACCAGGGCATCACTGTGCTTCTGGACAGTCTGAGGTGTAACCTGGCGGTGTCGAAGGGACTGAAACCTAATGTCCCAGAGGTGTTCTTTTGGATTCACGTTAAGTGAGCGTTGGGGTCAATCATCCTTTATTCTCCAGGATAAATTCTCCTGCTTGCATACTCTTACCACTTGAGACCTGGCATTGTCGTCCATCAGGAGGAACCCAGGACCCACTTCACCAGCAGTGGGTCCAAGGATTTCATCCAGATACTTAATGGCTGCCAGGGTGCTGTTTCCCAGCCTGTAGAGGTCTGTGCCTGTCTTCATGGATATGCCTTCCCAGAGCATCACTGACCCACCACCAAACTGATGTTGAGCAACATGTTGAAGAATATTACAGACAGCAATATCTCTCCCTTAGAGATAGGATGAGAAGTTCAGCCATCCGGGAGAGGCTCAGAGTAGAGCCACTGCTCCTCCACATCGAAAGGAGCCAGTTGAGGTGGTTCGGGCATCTGACAAGGATGCCTCCTGGGTGAGGTGTTCTGGGTATGACCCACTGGGACCCAGGACACGCTTGAGAGATTATATCTCTCTGGTGGACTTGGTGTTCCCCTGGACAAGCTGGAGGAGGTGGCTGGGGAGAGAGAGGTCTGGGCTTCTCTGCTTAGGCTGCTACCCTTGCGACCCGGCTCTGGATAAGCGGAAGAAGATGGATAGATGGATGGACAAACAGTAATACAGCCCACTAGAGGACGTCAGGCCCTTGAGCCATCCAGTGTATTTCTGATTGTTTGGTCAGAAACATTCACACCTGTGGCCTCCTGGGGGTCATTTTGTAGTTCTGGCAGTGCTCGTCCTATTCCTCCTTAGACAAAGGATCAAATACCGGTTTTGATGTTGGCTTAAGAACCAACCCTTTTCAGCTCTCCTAGAGTAACTGCCTGTTTCCTGGAATCTCCTCTATGCTCTTTAGACACAGTAAACCTCTGGCACTGGCATGTATTGATGTGCCATTCTGGTGGAGTTGGATACTCTGTGCTACCTTGGTAGGGTCCAGTTATTGTCTCATACTAGTAATAGTTACACTGAGGCTAGTAGTGACAAAAAAAAATGTTCTTGACGAAAAAAATCTTGACCTGTAAAACCATTTGTATTGCCTCAGGTTGTCTCATTGTTTCCCCTCTATTGAACCTGTTTCATTAATCGGTTTTAGCTGCTTTACTGTTAATGAAACAAGTGTATACATACAGAACAGAATTATATACATAATAGACTATCACCTTTGGAGTAAATGAGTATAAATTTAGGAGTAAAGAGAAAAACCCAAAGAACTTTAGTGACCAACTGGCAAATAAACCGCTTTCATACTGACATGTTCCCAGTAGGTAGCATTTAAGCTAACTGTTTACGTTAAAGCCACGAGGCCAGAGAGTTTTCATACAACTTTCTACATTATAAGCTTACACAAATGAAACTCACTGTCCACTAACTGCATGCTAGCTGACGTGTTTGTGAATCTGTCCAGTGTCTGACATTGAATTTCCATATTACATGCAGCTGTGGGCTACTGCTCATTTTATCTCATTTGAGGCCTGTAATTTCATTATTTAGTAATCATGACCTTTCTAAGCTGGTTATAAATTGCTTAGTCGGTTTTATAATTTATGGCCTGTTTTATGATTATCTATGGTTGCTGGCTGGGCTGCTATATCACGCTGTCATTGCAGTCATTGCTGAGTTCACTGCAGCTTTTTCTTTTTCTATCTGTCTTTCTTTTTCTTCCTTACTTTTCTGCGCTGTCCTCCTTTTTTTTACTATTATTTTGGCTTCTTTAATTTCATAATCACCAGCCTAATGCAGGTTCCACCAAACCAGATTCTGCCAAATCACGCCCATCCACTCTCTCCACAAATGGCGAGGCCAACTCGGCCAAACGCCCCTCCCCCACCACTGCTTCAGCCAATAAAAAAAGCCCTGTACCCAAGGCAACTACACCTACTGCTGCCAAGCGGCCGCCAACAGCAACTAGCTCTGCTAAGGCTGCCAAGGTAAGTATAAGACACAAGGTTACATGTATTTCTTCAGTGCAAGCTATGTCTTTATTTGGTAAAGACTGGATGACTCTCAGTCTACATTAATATCTAGATATGTATTTCAGAGTTATAAAATAGGATCCTTACATGCCATTTCACATTTTAAAATATATATTTCACCCATACATGAAAGATCGATGTAACCACCACTGCCCATTAGATTATGGCAGGGGCCTCCAACTCCAGTCCTCGAGAGCTACTGTCCTGCAGCTTTTAGATCTATCCTTGTTCCAACACACCTGAGTCAGATTAATGGCTTGTTACCAGGCCTTTGCCAACCTTGATGGCACACTGAAGAGGTAATTCAGCCATCTGAGGCTGTGTCCCAATTCAGAGACCACACACTTGAAGTACGCATTTTGAGTGCGATTACGTCACCGCCACGCGACGACGGCTGTCCCAATTCGAAGTGTACTCCAAATGCGCCGTCGATTTCCCCAAATATCAAGCGTGGTCCGTGTCACTACCCGATCTGTACCGGAAACCCGATCGGTACCCAGCATGCGCAAAAGGTGTCTACTTCCAGTTGAAGCATTTTACGATAGTTATGGGTCAGAGTATCTGTTAAGATATTAAGAATAATAATCTCTTAAAATGTTTCCAATAATGAAACATTTCAATATAATGTAGACAAAAAC